CTAGAAATCATCGCTCAGAATATTAAAGTGAGTGAAATGTGAATGTTGATTTGAGAGTGTATTCCTTTAGTTGGTACTTGGAGAGCATGTATTGGACCTGTTTTGGGTTATACTTTTGGGACTGTTTTTCTTGCTGGAACTGCTTAATTCACACGCACACACACACACTCACACACTATAGATAAACTAACAGTACTTTTTTAAAATATGCTTTTGTTGCACTTGTGGTTTTGTGATTTGTTTGTGGAAATGATCCAGGTTTATGTGAGACATATTACAATATTTAAAAGGGTTCATTTGATTTATACAGAGTATTCTGATACATGTAGGGTTTGACCAGACTTTGATTATTAAAGTGGTCAGGCAGCCAATCCAATTACTTAATCACAAACCCTACAGTGTGTGATGTGTGTGAGTGTGTGTGAGTGTGTGAACAGGAAGTTGTGTTTTCTAAGATCCCTGCGAGAGCCAAGACCATTTTTCAGCCAAAGCTCCGTGTTCATTTGTTATTTGAGGGACAGACGGCAGCGGTCAGACTGAGTCAGGTCACGTCTGTCTCTGATTGGCTGGTTTTGGATCAGACACACAGCAGACGGTTTGATCATATGGAGAAATATTCTCCTGCTGTTATCAATGCTTACTATCTCTTCTTCTTTTGTTGCTCCAGTTCAGTTTTAGAATGAATGAGTGTTCAGTTATCAGTCTGTGTGAGGTTCATTATCATCATTTAAAAACGTAAAATATCTATCATACAGTCTTGGAATGCTTCAGACTACGACTTTTTTATGAAAAAAAAAAACCTTTCATTTTGACCACATCATCAACCACATCTTTCCAGCTTGATTTCATTCACTCAGGTCCTCTTTTTTAAGTTGGCAAACCACAACCTGCATCACAGGAAACATCAGAGACCTGTACGACGAAGCCGGATTTTCGCTTAGCGAGCTAACTTCAGGGAAAACTCTGGGTTTCCGGTCCTACGAAGCTGGTTCTCTTTTTAGCGGGCTAGATCTCCATGGTAACTTATGCTGAGCGGCTAGCCTGGTCCGGAGCAGGTTAGGTTGAAGGCTAAGAGATCAACTCAGTGAAAGCACCGCCTGCTGACCAATCAGAGCTCCGTGTGCGGAGTTTAAAGCGATCAAGTCATATTACAGGAGAAAGGAAATACAGTTTAAACTGCCGTTGCAGGAAAGACAGCCGGCAAAAATCACCGACTGTGAACATGAAAATGAATAGAATATCCCCTCCCATCTTCAGAGCAATCTGACTATTATAACATTAGCGTTAAGAAAGCTTACTTAAATATCTGCCACAACATAAGTACACCGGATCAGAGCAACATTAAGTACAGTACCTCGGCCACTGTGAGTGCAGACGTCGATGTGACATTCTAATGTATCATATTTCCTTATTTGAGTCAGCTTCTTGAGCCGTATCTGGCTGCTTGACACACTCACAGTGTCACATACTGTATGCAGAAGTATTATTTAAGCAACACAATTAAGTTGACGAAACACTCGAGTCAAATGTAATTAAGTCAGATCCACTCGTTGTCTTAGGGGCAGTGATTTCATAAACCTGTTAACGCATTCAAACAGCTGTTCTGTATTCACCTTGCAGGTGCAGCTATGTGGCTTTTATCCTGGATAAAGTGTTTAAGTCATGGATGTTTTAAAGTTTAACGTCTTCATATTTGACTAATATTATAGTTGACTTTTCATTCAGGAAGTATGACGCTGCGCTGTCAGTATGCTTGTCCATGTTTGAGATTGGTCGAATGCTCCAAATACCACCCCTTTCATGTGAACGCGCACCTAACTAGATAGGACACGGCTGGCTTGAGCGATCCACTTGATAACCCGCGTCGTAGGACCGCTTAGCCAGAGCGCGTATGTTTTGGATTAGGCCAACCGGCTAACTCAAACATATCCAGGTTATGTTGAACCGGCTTCGTCGTACAGGCCTCTGGTGAGGCGTGAGTCAGACAGCCGGCTCACATATTTATGGTTTATGGCTCTAAAATACACTTAAATTAAATCAGACAAAATGGACATCTTAAATGAGTGATAGCAGGGAACAATTATTGACAGAAATTGTCCCTTTAACTTTTATGTCAGTCTCTTTCTCAGAGAAAGCCAGTACAGGAAGTCATTATTAACTTTATTGGCACACCGCTCCCTGGGCAGCTTACATTATCATTTGTGTCTGTTTACGGCAAATCACTTAAACAACAAGCCAGAGGATTAACATTGATGCCCTCTGGAGATTGTTTTGGAAACACTTTTTATATACACACAAATAGTGTGGGAAAACACTCTGCCTCAAGTCACTGTCCTTTTGTTTTCGTTAAACAAACATAAAAAAAGTAAATGATCACAAACAACAGTGTGTACGTGCTCTTAGTCTCAACCAGCTACAGTCATAATCATCAGTAGTTGAAGTAAATGCTTAAATATGAAGTTTTTGGTTTAATACATTTATTTGTATTTGTCATTATTTTTTAAATGATGGACCATTGTTTAAGCAGGCCACATTATGTTACAGATTCAGCTTTAAGAGTGGCATGTTGGAGTCATTTAGTACATCCACCCTCCTTTTTGTTTGTTCTTCTTCTGGAAGCCTTTTGGTCCAAACCTGACAGATGAAAGAAAGACATTTTGAAATGTTGGATACAAAATGATTCTTGCACGAGGCACAGGTTGTGTCCTCTAATGTTGGACATAGATGCTTTTTATATGTACAGTCAGTACACTTCCACTTCTCCTCTCTCTCTGCTCTCTTCTCTCTCTCTCTCTAGCGTCTCTAGCGATCTCTCTCTCATCGCAGCTCTCTCTCTCTCTCTCTCTCTCTCTCTCTCTCTCTCTCTCTCTCTCTCTCTCTCTCTCTCTCTCAAACAGCAAGTGAAGCTGAGCAGTCCGGACTACAAAGACTGTGACAAAGAGGAGGCTGTGGCCGACTTCCTGAAGAGGATCGAGTGTTACAAGATGACCTACATCCCGCTGGACGACAACAAGGACAGGTGAGCAGATCTGCAGAGACACAAACAACAACACAGTCTGCTTCAACACATCCACATCATGATTTTACATTCAGTGCTAATGCTAGAAGTAGTGTGTCCTGTATAGAGAGGCGAAGTCCCGCCCATCTACTTCCGACTCATGGGACCTTATTTCGGAAAAATTATGTATTGAAGTCAATGGGGAGAGAAAGATTATCTTTCGATCCCGTTTGAATTCTGAAAGAAAGAGGTGAAATGTGCCAACGTGACGGCCGTCTTGGTGTGTGGTGCGAGACGGGAGATGTAGTTCATTGAGCGGTTTCACACAAAAAAAAGTGTTACTTCACAGTTTTACGACACATTTGTATTTTTTTGACTTGTAAAATGATCTTTTAAATTGACAAACATCATATGTGTAATTCGTGGCACAATTCAAACGGGATTGAAAGATAATCTTTCTCTCTCCATTGACTTCAATGCATAACTGAGGCAAGATGAGCAGGGGGGGGGGTGCAGAAGCCAGGCTGGGTGGTGGAGGAGAGGTGTGAAGTGGAGGTGGTGAGCAGAGGGGGGATGCAGACGCCAGGCTGAGAGGAGGGGGTGAAGTGGAGGTGGAGGAGACAGCAGCGGGCGGAGTGCTAAACCTAAGGTGTTCAGCTCGTTGGCCCTCTCCAGGGTGCCCACAGTCTGTCTCTCCCTTTGAAGCCAGTGATTGCCTTCATCCCAGCCCAGACATCCCTGCTATTGTTCTGCTGGAGCTTGGCCTCCAGCTTCTTCCTGTCCATAGAATGTGCATTTATTGCAGATTGTCCAAAGCAGCGATTTGAGTGTCTGAGAGTGTGTGTTGGTATAAAAGAGTATCTTGTCTTTTTTTTGGTTTTAATTTCTACAATACAACCATTTTTCACAATTTCCTGGTTTTGGTTTTCTTATTACAGGAAATTGCACGACTACCCCTCTTTTGTTACATATAGGAAAGCAAACAGAATCCCCCCACCCTCACAAGAACTGGAAACTTGGTCACAGCATTGAGAGTATCTTATCTCTACGCAGGAACTTGTCCTACATCAAGATCTTCAACGTGGGCAGCCGGTACCTGGTGAACCGGGTCCAGGACCACATCCAGAGCCGCATCGTGTATTACCTCATGAACATCCACGTCACCCCGAGGTCCATCTACCTGAGCCGCCACGGAGAGAGCGAGCTGAACCTGTCAGGTCGCATCGGGGGGGACTCCGGGCTGTCGCCTGGCGGGGCAAAGGTTAGGAGTCTATAATCTGCGATATTTCAAGGTTCAAAGGTTTTATTGTCATATGCACAAAGCTACAGTGTAGAAATGGAAATGAAAATGTTCTGACCTGATCTCCTCCAACAGAGTAATGAGGTTAAAAACATAGTGTCGCTGATGAATTCTAACATATTGTGTATTTTACCATTTTCCACACTGTTGGTACAGAAGGGCTCCCGTTCGTACGCTTGAAACTCCTGCAAAATGGTGTGCTTGATGGATTGAGACTCTATGAACTTACATTTGTTTGTTAAAGACTTACGGACAAACTTGGAACACAGCTGAGCTTCATCGTAATGTTCAAACACAAGCCTCCAACAATCCAACATATATATAATACAATAAAAAGTAGTGCAAAAAGTCTATATACATGTAAATAGAATATGATATGTATACTTCCTGTTTGTCACGCCTGTCCTCTGTGCGTCAGTTTGCCAGCGCTCTGGGGACCTACATGCGCGGTCAGTGCATCAGCGACTTGAAGGTGTGGACGAGTCACATGAAGAGGACCATCCAGACCGCCGAGGCTCTGGGGGTCCCGTACGAGCAGTGGAAGGCCCTCAACGAGATAGACGCTGTGAGTTTTTATTTAGACTTATTTTTGTAGGTCGACCCGAAATGTAGCATTGCACTGATTCCCCTCGACAAAAGGTCAAAGGTCAAAAGGTCCTTTGAGGTTTTAGATTACTGCCTCAAATATAAACTTTGTGGAAAACAAAAGTTGATGATACTTCCAAGTTTTGTTCAGCAGAATAATCTCCACAAACAAACGTGCACTTAAGGACAGTTCAAAAAGACCAGTGGCAAACTGTATCTATCACAACTGGACCTTCTGTAGACACACACACCCCCCGCCGCCGCCGCTCTCTGAAAGAATACGCCCATTGGCTACAAATCAATATATGATTGGTTGATCAAACTGTCAGTCCAAACGTACGCTCTCATTCAGTGCAACGGCCAGGGCATTCTATCAAGGATGTAGAATACCTTGGTTGAAGGATATTCTACCAGAACAAGATCTGATTGGTTGCTTTCTTTTCTAACACAAAACCACTGAAATGCGTAGTGCATGGACCGAGAAGGACAAACAAATCAACGTAACACTGTAATATTACAGATCAACAACACAGATACGATTCTCATTTATTCATTTTACATACATTTGATTTATATAATTAAATCGATTTTTTGTTTGTTTTATCTGAGTGTTCCAGGGTATTCTCTGAATACCTCGAAGGCCCTGACGGTTCGCCACTGAAAAAGACACAAGTGATATGTGATATTCTAACACATATCACTCGTGTCTTTTTTATTCTTCTAACAGTTAGAAGAATGTTTTTGTATTAAATGTCCACAGCATGTACTCTTTTGTTCATAGTTTGTGTCATTTTGCAAACATGTATACACTGTCTCCTTGTTTGAGTATGAAGGGGTGAGAAAATGTGTTTTTAAGTGTGTTTTATGTTTAATGTGTGTGTGAGAGACTGCTCTCACACACATTAAACCAGCCACCCCCATCGCTCGAACAACACCCCACTGCCACATGAAGTGATTTGTTCCTGTTTTGTGCCTCAGGGTGTGTGTGAGGACATGACGTATGAAGAAATTCAGGAGCATTACCCAGAGGAGTTTGCACTGAGGGACCAAGACAAGTACCGCTACCGCTACCCTAAAGGAGAGGTGAGGACGGAGAGTTTGATTAACTAGACAAGGGTCCAAATGTTTTCCTTCAGCACCCTTGTTGTAGTTCTATGTGTGTGATTGTAACTCATGTTCCAGCTGCAGCTCAAACTATGCTCCAGTATGTTCCCGCCTTTGAAGTCCTGATGATTCAATGTTTGTTGTGTTATCACCATGACTGCGGTGTGCAAATTAGTGATGCCCTCAGGAGTCTCTGCGGACGAGTTAAAAACAAGAGGCTTCATTATCACAGGAGACTGTTCCAAAGGATAAGACAAAACATTGGATGACAAAATCTGAAGGAGAATTTCGTTTTTCTATTTCATTGAGACACGATATAGGGAATCGATTCATTTAGGATGAAAGTAAAAGGAAAAATATGCGTATAAGTATTTCAATTGGTGAAAAAACCCTCCAAAACTCAAAGATATTCATTAAACAATAACAAAAAACAGGGTAAGATTTGAAAATATGGAACCAGCAAATGCATTTGAACTTGATGATTGTCTTAACCGATAGTTTGACTATTAAAATGTGTTTTTTGTATATTTTATGATAGAAAGTTTGAAGTCATACATATCAAAACATCCTAGTAAATAGAATACAAACAAACAAACACGTTTACTTTTCATGTTCACAAGCAATACGTAAAAACCTGCAAAAATCTAATTCTGTCTATAGACTAATGATAATTATTTCAACACTTATTTTCTGTTCTAACAGTGTTTTTGTGTTGGCACCACAGAAGAGTTTAACTGACTTTGTGTGGACAGTTTGACATGTCTCTCTCTCTCTCTCTCTCTCTCTGTGTGTGTGTGTGTGTGTGTGTGTCAGTCGTACGAGGACCTGGTGCAGCGTCTGGAGCCGGTCATCATGGAGCTGGAGCGGCAGGAGAACGTTCTGGTCATCTGTCACCAGGCCGTCATGAGATGTCTGCTCGCCTACTTCCTGAACAAGACTGCTCGTGAGTAGTGATGTGAAAAATTATCAAACAAATATTTATAGTTTCAGGTATGTCCTGGTACACCTGTTAAACTTCCAAGTGGTCATGAATCCACTTCTTAACAGCAAAAAAAGACAGACTTTCATGCTGTTGATTTTGGTCTTTACATGATATGGGTATATGTATTTCATACTACTGTATTTTTATAGAGATGTAACTGTCGTTTCTCCCTGTGTGTCAGACGAGCTGCCCTACCTGAAGTGTCCTCTGCACACGGTGCTCAAACTCACACCTGTCGCCTACGGTCAGTCTCTCAATATTTCCTCACACATTCACAACAACGATGTTCAAACTCCTTAATGACCCCCTCTCTTTGTTGCTGTTTGTCTTTTGCTCTCAGGTTGTAAAGTGGAGTCTGTTTTTCTAAACGTTGAAGCTGTCAACACACACAGAGACAAACCAGTGGTAATTTATTTGGACTTTATTTTTCACAAACTTGTAGACTAGAGGGACAGGTAGATTACTCAAAAATAATGAAAATGTAAGTAGTTGCAGTAATATTAGATCATTAAGTGAGATTTCACAGTAATGTGTTTTTCTGGGTTTAAAATGTTATTCTGTCCCTATGATCACACTTCTTGATACAGGGATGCAAACTCATCAGGTATGAAAAAGGTGACAAGGATCCGAGCCCCCCGACCCCACGGAATATCGGCTTTAAAATGAGGAATAACAGAGGATTTTAGCAGTCAGAACAACTAAAGCAGCAGTTAATAATAACAGAAACGCCAAAGAGTCACATCTAATAGAAATATATTTAAGCATTTATTTTAATTGTGTAGCAGTCAGTTTATAATTTTGGCAGGACTGTTGAGCATTTTGAAAATGTATTTTCATGCCTGTGCAAGGCTGTCTTTCTATCTTTATAGCCAGTGGTGTAAAGTAACTAAGTTCATAAACTCAACAAGTACTATACTTGGGTACAATTTTGAGATACTTGTACTTTATTTAAGTATTTCAATGTTTTGCTACTTTGTTCTTCTTCTCCACTACAGTTCAGAGGTAAATGGTGTACTTTTCCTCCACTACATGTATTTAATACCTTTAGTTACTTTACAGATGTGGATGAATGATGTGAAATATAATCAAGTGTTAAATCAGACTTTAGTTCCACCTGGAGTAAATTCACAAGCTACCCTGCAGTATACAAAGTCATTCAAACTAGCTGCACCTTTACCAGCTTTGAGAACACTTTCATGATCAATCATTATAAAACATATCATATATATTATTCTGAAATGGACCAATCTGCACAATGACTACTTTTGCTGTCGCTACTTTAACTATATTTTGATGATAATACTTTTCTACTTTTACTTGAGGAACATTTTGAATGCAGGACTTTTACTGTAACAGAGTATTCCTACACTCTGGTACTTCTACTTTTACTCAAGAACAAGATCTGAGTACTTCTACTTGTACTCAAGTACAAGACCTGAGTACTTCAACTTTTACTCAAGAACAAGATCTGAGTACTTCTACTTGTACTCAAGTACAAGATCTGAGTGCTTCTACTTTTACTCAAGTACAAGATACTTATACCACCTCCGTTTATAGGCCATGGAAGAAACTATTTGAAAACGAAGGCTAAAGCTAACGTTAGCAGATAGTGACAATGTATGCTAGTTAGCTATCTCAACGATTCATTAAATAATATTGCGACAGAAACACTTTTCAGTGCACATCACGCTCTGCCGCTCCGACAGGGAGCTCTGATCTGAACACCCCGTTCTAACCAGCGGTCCAGTCTGTGCCACAGTGACTCTGGACCGCACAGTTAATATTAACGATATTACGTAGGTAATGTAGCTGCTGAAGCAAGCTAGACCCTCATCCCGGAGCAGCAGAGCCTTATTATACATCCATGAGCAGAGCTGACAGGCAGGAAGACTTGTGCTCGCGCTTCATTATAATATATAAAAAAAGAACACCATGCGTGTCATGATGGCACATAACAGCTCGCGGCCGCAGATTACTCCGGGTCCCAGACCCCCCCCATACCCCAAAAATATTTTTATTGCAGATCTACATGAATCACACAAACGACCTATTTTGGAATCAAAACGGCGAATTTCGCCGAAAGGTGACAAGTTTGCATCCCTGTTGATAAATTAGGACATTTATTAAGATAATAAATGTATTAGTGCTAATAGTCAGTCCACAGGTCTGATTTAAGCTTATTAACCAATTTGTGCCCAAACACTATATTTGGTACAAATGTGATAAATTCAAACTAGTTTTCTCCCTTTGGTTGATTTCAAGTCATGAAGTTATTGTTAGCTTGCAATGCTATGCTTCCCCAACGCTGTCTCTTGTTGCAGAACGTGGACGTGGACAGAGAGCCGGCGGAGGCTTTGGAGACGGTCCCGGATCACATCTAGAGGACGACACGGGGAAACTGGTTTCATTTCTATCCACCTTAATGGAAAGTGGCCTTTTTTAATTTAAGTAATACTAGTGTTCATTGTTACCTGGGTAATTGTTGAAATGTAAAATCATTGTGACATGTGAAATGAGACATTTCTCCTATGGCAGCCTATTTCCATTGGAAAGCCCTTTATAATGCAGGGCTCAGACGTCTGGTATGAAGAAGTGGAGACTTCCTTTACTGTGAAAGTGAACTACTGCGGGTCAGGTGACCAGGATCTCTGTTTGGATATTCGTGAACATGCATGTCTGTGTCTTCTTCTCCTCCTCCCTACTTGTAATAATACATCAGGCAACTTTAAATCACCCAGTCACCTCTTCATGTCCATCTGACCACTTCACATCATGTTATCTTGTGTCTCACAGAGGCACATCATATGAGAATCCAAACGACTGGTGAGCAGCAGTTCTTTTAACACACAGTGGTGCAAACAGGAAGTAGGGGTTTGGTAACAATGTAAAATAATACTTTAAAGATAAATATGTGGAAGTAGTTCAACATTTTGATAAATTAACTTATTCACTTTCTTGCTTGGAGTTAAAGGAGATATACCACTCTCATATCTGTGCACTAAATCTGAAGTCAAGGAAACAGTTAGCTTAGCTTAGCAATGTTATCACAAAGCCTGGCAATCTCACAGCGAGGATACTCAACAGTATAGTGTTCAATATTAGTATTCAGTTTCAGTCTGTGATTAGGGAGATTGTATCACATTTATTGACACACAAATTAAATGATGTGTATCCTTACGGTCATGTTAACCTTATTTGTATGCTGGCCGAGCCTCATATTTAACATACAAAAATAAGAGGGGGTGTCGTCATCTAATCTAACTCTTGGCAAGAAAGTGAACAAGTCCAAACTATTCCTTAAACTAGGATTGGCTTGTTTATCGGAGTCATTTCGTATCCCGTCTAAATCCACAAAAGGTGCAGATCCCACTGGTAATTATAACCAGGGTGTGGTGTTCGTGTCACAGTGGAAAGATAATTTGTCACAGTGTTCTGGTTTAATATAATTAGAAAGTCAATTTAAAGGGACATTTGGCACTTTAACTGCCCAAATACCATGATGTGCCTCACATGAGTTAAACATGATTATTCTATGCACCCTCACTGCACACACACACTGGAGGCAGAGGCACAGTGTGTGTGTGTGCTGTTTTTAACTGACATTTGTCATTTTATTAAGATACATGAGGGACTCTGGTGCAATATAGTGTTTTTAAATTGGTTTACATGGACCTTAGGTCAAGTTCTGGTGGCCTGTATCACAAAGCACGTTAAATATATTTAAATACTAGTGGTTAGCGCTCCACCCCATTGCATGTGATTAGGTTAAGGGGTTGACCAATCACAACAGAGCCGGCCAGCTGACCAATCAGAGCAGACTGGGCTCTGGTTTCAGACAGAGGGTGAAAAGAGCTTTTTAATCATTAAAGCATTGAGACATGTCACAGTAGAGACACTACATACTAATATGAAGCAGAATAGAAGGCCTTTAAACATAACCAGCTAACTAACGGTAAACTCAGTGATACAGGCCTCCTGATTTGAGCTCATTTCTGTCACCTGGAGGAACAATAGAAAATACAATCTTCTCAGGGGACCTTTGTTTTATTGAAATGCCACCACATGAAATAAAGTGTAAATAAATGCATGTAATTTATTTCAACACAATGTGAAAAGTGTCTTAGTCAGAAATCTAGGATTTAAAAGTTATCCCTTTTTAAAACCCATGTTCAGTTCGTAGCAGATTCACAATGTCAAATCTGTACACGTGTGCTTTGTTTGGTGAAACTGTATCTAAGGTCACAGCTTTTTCTGCTCGTATCGTCCATTGTTGTGCAATTGTGCCTGTGTGTCCTGAGCTCTGTAATATGTAGCTGCGATGTCGAAGAGTTACACGTTGTCTAACAGCCATGAGCGTATGTGAGAAAAATGAATGAAAAGTCAAAATAATGCAATCATTGATCAAACTAAATCTTTTCTTTTCTGAACGTGAACAAATAACTGTTACCTTTTCAAAGGACAGGCAATAAAAGCAAAAATGGAAACCTGAATATTGTGTGTGATGTTAAATGTGATCCTATTTAAAAATGAAATTGAAACTCAACAAAAGGTAACATATGAACATACTAAAATATGAAATAGAACTAGGATTTGATTTGACTGTCAAGTTTAAACGGACTCCAAGGCCTTGCAAAACTGCATACAAAAAATATGGTGGCACAGATGTAGCTTCTGTCTTTCATCATTTAAAATAAATAAAATAAAAAAGGTAATACTATAAAAGTTATCTCTGGCTGCTGGTGCTGGGCTGCGTGGAGCTGGAGCTGTGAGCCTCTTGGTACTGCTGACTCCAGCTCTGAGGGTCCTGCTCATGGAGCTGAAATCACACAACACATCTTCGTTAGCGGACAAATACTCAGCCAACTTTAAATCACCCAGTCACCTCTTCATGTCCATCTGAACCACTTCATGTTATCTTGTCTCTCACAGAGGTACATCATATGAGAAACTAAACGACTGGTAAGCAGCAGTTTTTTAACACACAGTGGTGCAAACAGGAAGTAGGGGCCCACCGTGCTGTTTGGTAACAATGCACAATAATACTTTAAAGATAAATGTGTTGAAGTAGTTCAACATTATAACTAAACACATTCACTTTCTTGCTGAGAGTTAAAGGAGAGATAACACTCGCACATCTGGGCACCAGATATGAAGTCAAGGAAACAGCTAGCTTAGCTTAGCACAGAGTGTAAACAGGGAGTGTTTCTCAATGTCGAGTAAAGCTGCTTCAGAGCCACTATTTCAAGCATACTACGTCATCGAGTGCCGCCGAAGGGCTGTTCCAATCTCCAGCATACTTGGAATTCTACCGAGCCCGGCGTACTCCGTTTGGAGACATTTCGAGGCTGCACATGTGTAGACTCCGCGGTCTTAAAATCCCCACAATGCTTTGCGCACGGACCCGCCTTACATTTTCCGCCACAGATTTGGGGAAATTGGTCCGTGCGCATTACTAATGAAATGTGGGTAATATACTACCCGTTACAATTCTCATTTTAACCCGAAATGAAATGGTGTTTTGTTTTTTAAGAATTCACTAACATCGCGAGACATTCTGACACCAGAGAAAGATTGTGCCGGTAGATTAGTACGCCTGGTGTTTACGTAATCAGTCATTATGGAGAAAAGAACCCCCGACAGGCTGATCTTGATGAGCCTGAAGGGTCCCTATAATGACCAAGTCGCTGCACATTATCCCGCTTATTACATGGCCAGATACTAAACAAACTAAGGAATCGACTCCCAATATTAATTTAAATGATTTTATTGACTTAAAATTATCGTATTTCTTCCGCTAAGAAAAATAAAAACTCCGTTCCACAGCCTTGTAATACAAGTTGTTAGTAGCCTTAAGGGCCTGCACAGTTGCTGCACTAAACTACATTTTAGCATTTAAAATACCTAGCCATTATTTTGCGGTTATTTTGGTGAAAGTAGCTCAAAAGTAGTGTAACTCATTACATTTCAGAGACAGTAATATTGTAATGTAACTTATTACTTAAAAGACAGTAATAAGTCATATGTAATGTATTACATTTTGGAAGTAACTTGCCCAACACTGGTCCTGGTACAACAATATCACAAAGCCTGGCAATCTCACCGTGAGGATAAGACTCAACAGTATAGTGTTCAAGTATAGAGGCAGCTGTGATCCGTCACTGATCATATTCTGATACGCACCTCCCCCATGAACGCCAGGATCTTTGATTTGGAAACCTCCACCTCGGCACGTTGACCCCAATGAAACTCGTGCTCTATTGGCTCTGTGTGGGGGATCCGTACATACTCCAGGTACCTGCACACGCACACACACACACACACAATGAATTAGTCATGTGTAGCCTAATGTGTGATCATTCAAGTATACAGGTTCAAACCCCACTGCAGTCAGCATGTCGTTGTGTCCCTGAGACACTTCACCCCAAATTGCTCCTGTGGGGATTGCCCACAGTATTGAGTATGTAAATCGCTTTGGATAAAAGCGTCTAACAAGTAACATGTAATGTAATATATATTAAATCCTAAATAAAAGGAATGCATCAAAGAGAGAGAGAGAGACAGGAAATACTGCAAACACAACTGTGGCAATTCAATGCATATTATGCCTCATTTCAAATGCATGGTACGGCGTTTAAAGATATTAATGCAGTGTCCCTTTTCTTCCATAGTCATAAAGCTAAGAACTCAACACTGAAATGAGCACGCATTCATTTTGTATTGTTTGTTTTAAGCAGGCAATATTGTTTAGGTTTGGTTTTACTCAAAAGGTTTTTGCTTCTATTAAGACCCCATTTACACGGGAACGTTTGCGTTGACGCACCGTATGCGTTTTCAAAAAAGTATTCCGTTCACACGAGACCGCTGGAAACGCTGTAGTACATATGCCAGGCCTGTAAGTGGCGCTGCTGCCGCCACACAATACACCAAAAGCAGCGAAGAAGACCCCGGAGCATGGTTGCCCTTCTGTTTATTCTCCGCGGTGGACGGCGTGTGCTCCTGCTGTAAATCTCTCCGGTTAGTCCACCAGCAGATGACAAACACCCACTTCTCCGCCTCTTCCAAGGAACGAGGGGACCGTGCGGTAGAGTTTCCGTTAACATTTTTTTCCGCCGGTCAACATGTCCGTTAAAGTTTAAATCTTCTGGACAAAATTCGAAAAAGTGCCGGTCAGAGGTCTTCTTTGTTATTTATTGAGCTTTAAAACAAATGAATAACGACTCTATATAATAATATAAGAATAATAAACGGAGCCTCTCTTTTCATCCCCCTCTCAGCCCAGCAGCTGATCTCTGAGCAGGAGACGTGGGGAGAGGGAGACGTGAGGAGAGGGAGGCGGGGCTATTTCATCGTTATCAGAAAATGATCGTATAGAGGCGATTACACGGAGTCGTTTGACCAAACAAATCAGTCCACCTTGGGACCCGTTATCGTTTGCGGGGTCCGTTTCTATCGTTTTGTTACGGCCTCGTGTAAACGAAAGGGCTATACGCAAGAGAAACTATGCAGATACAACCCGTTTCGTCCTTGTGTAAACGGGGTCTAAGTTAACATCATTTTTTAACTGCTTTTGTTTCACTTAAGTTAACAATTACCCTGCTGTTTTAACTGTTGCTAGTATCAGTTTGGCTTGCTTTGAAACATGACTGAGGGGGAAAATGTATAAAAAGGCAAATAAAAAAGGTTCCTGGTACTAACCAAAACTTAAGAGAACCAAGGAATAATTGTTCAAAGCTGAGCAAAGCCGTACCATGCAGTGAAAAAGCGGCATAAGAAAGTCACTATGTGGTATTTATTTAGGGTTTAAACAGCTTCAATTGTATATTATGTATTGTAAATGACAGAGAAACATTCAGGGTTAGCAACATTAGACATCCCACAGTAGGTGAACAGTAATACATAATGATAATGTCAGGAGCAGTGCAGGACCAGACCACTCTGAAGTGGCCCAGTGTTCTCCACTCTCCTGTTGATCTGTGGTGTGGTATAAACCAGAGTCTATGGTCTTAGACACTCTGGCTCTGATCACACCAGTGCAGTTTATACAGAGATATAGTACAGTTTATACAGAGATATCAGCAGGGGCTTGAACCTGTGACCTTCTGATCACAGACACAGTTGATTAGTGAAGTGAGCTATAGCCTAGCTTAGACAGACAAGGGGTTTCACACATTAAGGAGTTGGAGGAGGAGTGAACAATCAGAGTGTTTACATGCACGGGTAACCAGAGTCCTTATAAATAATTAGGGCAGGGCAGAGGAACCCGATTACAGGGATCCACAACAATGCTTATATGAATGTAGGCTACTCAGAGAAATCAGGTTACATTGGTAAGCAGATGTGACCTCAAACCAAGACCGTAAGTGAGTGAGTGAGAGAGAGTGAGAGTGAGAGTGAGAGTGAGAGAGAGAGAGAGTGTGAGTGTGTGTTGAAGCAGACTGATTTTTAGAAACCTGGAGTGTGTAGACCAAAAGATTATTGCTTAATCTAGAAAATAACCAGAACAAATTAACTAGCCGTACAAACCGAGTGATCTGGTGAAACATTTTCTTACCTTTGACGCACAAACTCGTCAGTGACCACCTTCTTTACGTCGCCAAACTCCTCGTGTTTCTCTCTGGTGACGGTTTTCAAATAATCACAATCATTTAAGAATGAATCGAAACACAGTCATTAATACTCAGGAGTAGAAATCACACATCCAGAGGTAAAGAAAACTCATCTTACGCTACGTCGACTTTGAGGTTCTTCAGCGTTTTCCAGATGACGTCTGACGCACAAACACAACCAGAAAATTAATCCCAAATTCTGTTTTTTGCACATACACGTTAATATGGAGAACATGGAGAGTGGACTCATACGAGTTAGTAATGAATGCATCTCACTCACTTTCTCCAACAACGCCTCCTTTCATGAAGATAACACTCAGGATGACAAACAGCATACCCATCTTTGGGTTGGTCGGGTTACTACACACACACAAGGGACACACAACTGTTTTAATAAATATCATTTCAATGAATTGATGCAGTCATTTAAAATATATGCAGTGAGACTCACGTGATCGGTGACGCTCCCTCAACCGTCTCCAACTTATTGATGAGTATGTACATGTGATTTTTGGCGTCAATTTCAATCATTTTAAGGCCGAATACCTGATTCAGAACGTGGAAAAGAGAAACGTTTTTTACATTTCTTTGATTATTTATTCAATATGAAAGGTTTAGCTGACCCTCTGAGACTGAACGGACCTGGTCAAAGATTCGTGCTGCTCTCTTCATGATCTCAGGGTAGATGTTTCTGTACTCCTTCACCACATGTTTCACAAGATCTGAAAGAAAGAAAAAACGATGAGGCCTTTTCCCTTCACATCTGCTGACTCGGTTTGGCTCAGAACTCCAGTTCAGCTTGGGAGGGATTTGCATCTTCATTAAAAACAGAGCTTGTGGATAGAAGGAGCAGCTGTAAAACAGTGGATAACCACATTTTACTTCCTATACATTCACTATAAAAAACGTTTTAATTCCAATAGAATCACAATAAATATGCAACCCCAGAATCTATACTATCTTTCTATACAGCTGAAAAAACATACAGGATCAAAAACACTTTAACTGAACTTAAAACTGAAAATGTTGAGTTAACGTGTGCCGCTGTACCTGCTCGGCGTACAGGAATCTTCTTCTGATCCTTCACCAAGAAGAACTGCACCACCTCAGCTGTCTGCGGGGGAAAGAAGTGTGTGAGGAAATAGATTTATTTACCTTATTGCAGAGAAGGTGATTGGCTGTAATCTGCCATCCCTCCACGCCTCCAGAACCCTGAGGCGGGCAGGGAAGATAGTGGCCAACCTCTCCCACCCTGGACACAAACTGTTCACCCCCCTCCCCTCTGGCAGGAGGCTGCGCTCCATCAGGACCAAAACCTCTCGCCACCTGAACAGTTTCTTCCCCTCCGCTACCGGCCTCTTAAACAAGGCCCGGCCCCCCCCCCACTGACACTTACCTCAGCCACAACGTAGACTCTATACGCATTACATTAATGCACACAATGTTCATACTGCTTACTGCACATATTTCTTGTTTTATATTTTATGTATGCACCATGACATCAAGTCAAATTCCTCGTATGTGTGAACCTACCTGGCAATAAACCTGTTTCTGTTTTTAAATAACCCTTCCCTGTGTGCCTGTGACGAAGATGGCTTCGTCACTGTGGACTGCCTGCTTCGGGCTTTGTATATTACACATGTGTTTTATTTTGAAAAGTGTTCCCTTTCCCCATGTCTGTTGCTCCTGATGATGTTCACCTGGTGCCCTGTGTTGTCTCCTCCCCCCTCACCTGGGTCTTGTTGGGTTAATTAGTGTGGGTATTTAGGCTCTGTGTTTCCTGTTTTGTTTGGTGTGTGAGATCCTTGTGGCTGGTGACTGTGCTCACGTGAACAGCGAGATTGAGGCTGTGTCATGTGCCCGTGAGTAATAAATGCCCACACCGGGTTGTATTTTGGACGTTCTGCCTCTGCCTCCTTGCTTGGTCGGGTCGCTCAACGGTCAGCTTCACAGTGCCTCTCACCTTCTGGTCGACCTGAGCCGGTGTGAGCTTCTCCATCCCTCTCTGGACCTGCGTGGTGCTTGGCTGAGTGAACGTCTGGTCGTCGTCTTCCTCCTGAGTCGCAGTGGGACCCGAGGTTCTCTACGGGCGAACAAAATATTCACTGATTTTAGTTTATATGAAAACGTATTTATTTTATTTTAAAAACGCACCTGTTCACCATGGCCTTTGACCCCTAACCCATCACAGTCCCCCTGCTTCCACTCCTATTTATTTAAGTGTACTTTATTATTTGCCCCTTTTGTTTGTTCACCATGTAAAGCGGCCTTGGGTCACTTGAAAGGCGCTACACAAATGTAATGTATTATTATTATTATTATTATTAACATCAGAGGTAAACATTTGTACTTGTCTTTTAAGACCCTTTCCATACATTTTAAGACCTCATCGCCACTTTGAGTTCTAACCGGTTACATTGGCGACACACTTTACCTCACATTTACTATATACAGTATTGATTGTCCTTCTTCCTTATCTTCCAACCATTTGGACGCAAACTTGCATTTCCCCATAATGATGTTGTTTAATAACCGGTGTAAACGGACCTTCGCGCGCTATCAAGCAGTGAGCGTGCGATGTCCTGTTCAGATGACGTCAAATCCAACGGGATGCCATAAATAAACTACACAGAATCACTCTACACACCTACGCAATGATTACATTCAGGCAGACTGTAGAATACAACCTCTTTGGACAATTGATATACTTATTGAAAACAAGCTACAAAATGTAATACCTTGGAAAATGCCGTTTAATACTTTTTAATAGCCTTAATTTTCGATCAACTTTTAATACTTTTTAAGACCCCGCGGACACCCTGTATAATACCATGGTCAAAATCAATAACACAAAGAAAGACTCTTAGCAGATTAGAGGTAAAGGAAGTTGATAATATATTGAAGATATCCTTTTTTTAAATCAGAAAAAAACATTTATCTATGGATTACCTTTTCCTAATACTAAATACTTTTGTTCTGCTTCTTTAGGACATGTCTCTGTATGGTAGGTAATAGATAATGCATTTATTTGTTGTACTGGATAGATGTTATATGTATTGTACTTTCAATTTGGAACATGAAACAGAATAGTCCAACACTAAGTTGCCGATTCTTCTGAATTATAGCTTAGTTTTTAATGTCTTGCAAGGCGGTTAAATACATCGTTTCTACACCTCTATTATTGAGAATAACGGTACATTTATATGACTTTTATTTGTTGATAAAGGAAGCAGGACTGTAGTGAGTCTGAAGATTATGGTCAGGATGTTTTAACTCACCTTACTCTGAGAGGAGCTCTGCGTGTTGGACGTCCTCTTTCTCTGTGTCATGGTAACACGATGCCTTATGAACAAAATAAAACACAACCACGGTCAGATCAGTGAGTTTATGTGGCTTTAAACAGACATCAAAGTGTATTGTATCCGTCACGGAAGTCCTAACCGTTACAGCTAAAGCACCGTTTGCTAAGGAAACCTGCAAGCTAACTAGCTGTTTAAAAGCAAAAATATAAATTAAATACAGTTAAATATTCATCTCTCAGTGTCTGGAGACTGGAGTGAAAGTATCGGAGTATTAAAATAAACGTTTTAGTCAAAATATTCAATGATTTGGTTCAAATGCAAACTTCTTTCTGAAAACATACCGTCAAATTCCCGCTAATGTGGGTTTCAGGCGCGTGCTGATGACGTAGTAAGAGCCTGCCGGATGTCATTTTTGATGTATTTTTTAGTTTTATTAATTCAAGAACATATATGAACATCATATCTCAGGGGTAGACATATAAAGTAATGCCTTTTTAATCATAAGGTTTTAATAGTGCTACTATATTGTTTTAATTATCGGTTAACATTTTCAAAATTTGGTTTGGAGTCAGCTCATGTCTTTTTATGAACATGACATTTGGTATTGTATTTTTCTATTCGCGTTTATTTACTCTTTACTGGTAGTCATTAACATCAACAGCATGGAGAAATACTCTACAAATTGACTAAAAACTGGTGGAAGAAACATCCAGATCATTTACTGAGGTAAAAGTACTTTGAAAATACTCTATTCCAAAAGTCCTGCATATACCATATACTGTATTTTAACGTGAGTTATTATTGTAGCATCGGACACAACATTATCAGCAGAATAAGATATATATTATTGATCCTAAATTAGGAAAATGTTTTCGTTCAAGCAGCAAGTTGAAACAAAGGCATTGCACAACATTTGAAAAATAAAAAGAGTAGAAAATAAACAAACATAGAACTAAAAGGTAAAATATAAACAAGTGGAACATCTGTAGATTATTTGTTCATACTTAAAACATATTTTGCTGGTATTACTTGTATTAATGTACTGAAGTAAGGTTCCCAATGCAGGACTTCTAGTATTATCCGTGATATTAGTGTTTGTAAATAAGTAAAGCATCTGATCTTT